AGGCTACAACATACAGGTATAGGAGCTGGGTTAGGCTACAACATACAGCGTAGGAGCTGGGTTAGGCTACAACATACAGTGTAGGAGCTGGGTTAGGCTACAACATACAGTGTAGGAGCTGGGTTATGCTACAACATACAATGTAGGAGCTGGGTTAGGCTACAACATACAGTGTAGGAGCTGGGTTAGGCTACAACATACAGTGTAGGAGCTGGGTTAGGCTACAACATACAGTGTAGGAGCTGGGTTAGGCTACAACATACAGTGTATGAGCTGGGTTAGGCTACAACATACAGGTATAGGAGCTGGGTTAGGCTACAACATACAGGTATAGGAGCTGGGTTAGGCTACAACATACAGTGTAGGAGCTGGGTTAGGCTACAACATACAGGTATAGGAGCTGGGTTAGGCTACAACATACAGGTATAGGAGCTGGGTTAGGCTATAACATACAGGTATTGGAGCTGGGTTAGGCTACAACATACAGTGTAGGAGCTGGGTTAGGCTACAACATACAGTGTAGGAGCTGGGTTAGGCTACAACATACAGGTATTGGAGCTGGGTTAGGCTACAACATACAGTGTAGGAGCTGGGGTAGACACATCGTTCATACAGGTATTGACAGCCTTAAATGATTGGTCTCCCCCCGACACCACCATATTTGAGCTAATCCCTCACCCCACCAAACACACACACACACACACACACACACACTTCAGACATCAATAGATAAAGCAATTATCCCACACCCCACCAAACACACACACTTCAGACATCAATAGATAAAGCAATTATCCCTCCCCCACCTATGGATTGCATCCCTCCCCCACCTATGAATTACATCCCTCCCCCACCTATGGATTACATCCCTCCCCCACCAATGGATTGCATCCATCCCCCACCAATGGATTACATCCCCCCCACCTATGGATTGCATCCATCTCCCTACAGTGGATGAGCTGATTGCATCAACATACCCTGAGATTACTCATCCATGTCGCTCAATCAATACCATGTAATAAATGTAATCTGTAATCGTGAAATTTCAAGCCAATCAATACCATGTAATACATGTAATCTGTAATCGTGAAATTTCAAGCCAATCAATACCATGTAATACATGTAATCTGTAATCATGAAACTTCAGCTAATGTAGCCGCGCCATAATTACATGCCCACAGCCTTGAACACTTTTTTTTTAATTAACCCACTGATGTTGATGGATTCATCAAATCTTTAGAGAACGTTGACACGAAATGCCTTATAATCTGTATCTAGACGACATCGACACGAAACGCCTGATCGTATGTGTCTATCGAACTTTAAAATAAATTAAATCTAAAAAAAATTAAGGAAATCACCATTTGATTATTATTATTGTTATTTATGATGTGATATAAAAATGTCATCAGTTGGACCGTCCGTGACCGAAACAAATTCATATTGTGGGATAGTCGTGTAGAATCACAGGTCGTTTAACACATTCATATTGTGGGATAGTCATGTAGAATCACAGGTCGTTTAAAGCTCGCTGTGTCTCCGTGTAGCCTAGAAGTAACTCGTGTGTACCACCCCATTGTCTCAGACCAGAGGCCATCTTCACCCTGCCTCTGATATTAATAGTTGAATGTTGTCTTTGAAACGGTTGTCTCGACATTCAGCAACATAAATAATGGACATGTGAGGTCAAAGGTTAGCGATTGGCATGCAGCTACTCCATTGTCAGCTCTATTTCCGGTAAACAAGGACCCAACATAGCTAACAACTCGTGGGTCCCAAAGTTGTTTTATTTTTTGCTTATTCCTTTCATTAAAAAAAAAAAATAGTTTAAAAAAAAAATCAGTGCGAATCTGAAAACAGACCTTTTAACCCGGTCAGTCTACCCTACCAACCACACCATCGCAGCATGCCTCACTCAACAACTCCTGTACCCAGCCATAGGGGGGGGGGGGTTACCTAATACAAACAATCGATCAGAAAGTTAAAAAGCCACAGAATTATGTCCAAATATAAAGGCCAACTCTGGGGGAAACTGGTCAACCATTCAGTATTAAAGTAAAAATAGCTTGGACATCTTTGTACCCTACTAACAATCAATACAATATTTCCATAATGTTCACATTTTGGAAGAGCTCCTTGATAAAACTAGGGCCGATGTCGCTAACTAGTTGGGACTGGGATACAGAGGCGCATCAAGCTGGTAGGGTGAAATGAAATACGGGGGAAGGGGCGGATCTAGCAGCTATGGTAAGGTTAGATGTAGACAACACGGCATAGCATTCTATAGTTGTTGATTCAGTTGTTTCAAATGTTGAAATTTGATTTATAGTTCAATTTAAAAAACCGTGGATAGATTAAACCTCCGAGCGTCACAGTCCATCAGACACTGAATGTCGGTTCTGTCTAGATAAAAGTGTTCGAACGCTACCCCAGCACAATGACCTTTCAAAACAAAAGTCAACTTCACAAGGAATTCTTACAGAGGTACAGCTTGACGATTGTTTACTAACACCTTGTGAATGGGAGAAAAAGTTGGTCTGTCTTCGATAATCTGTGAAATGTAGAGTAAACTTGACGACTTGAAATTTGCTTGGTCCTCTGTTCATAGATAGACTGGAGTGCCACTATGGCCAAGTCTCGCTGGACCACAAAAAAACCACCAAGTCGGGGTGGACGCCAAAATACCACCGAGGCTCGCTGGACGCCAAAATACCACCAAGTGTCGCTGGACGCCAAAATACCACCGAGTCTCGCCAAAATACCACCAAGTCTCGCTGGACGCCAAAATACCACCGAGGCTCGCTGGACGCCAAAATACCACCAAGTCTCGCCAAAATACCACCAAATCTCGCTGGACGCCAAAATACCAACGAGTCTCGCTGGACGCCAAAATACCACCAAGTCTCGCTGGGCGCCAAAATACCACCACATCTTGCATAAGACGAAGATCGACAAAAAGCATCACTGCTTGCATCCAGCGCAGGTGCATTCTTGAATTCCAGATTTCCTTGTCTTACTGTATTGATTAGACGTCTGTGTCAAGAGCAAGGCCACTGCGCCGAACGTCCAGATAACTGGCTTAGAAGGATGTCTTAGATCAACTGGTCAGCAGGTTGCATGTGAATGTTTGTATGTGCTAAAAATAAGATATGAAAGACTTTGTAGGTGCCAACCTTCTTGTATGGAACGACACTGAGCTAGACACGCCTAACGTAGCAGAAGTTTGGCCTTCAAACAGCGAAACTCGGTGGCCCTGTGCTGTGGAGATTGTGGTTGACCAGCACAGCCCCAGAAGTGGCAAGTAGCTGTAAATACGTAAGGGGGGGGGGGGGGGGTCCGAAAAAAATTGACTTTTGCGGACGCGGGTGGACTTTTAATAGAGAATTATGTGGACTTTTTTTTTCGGGGGGGGGGGGGGGGGGAGGGGGGGGGGGGTCCAAAATCCAAAAAAATTGTAGACGTCATTAATGGATGACCCCTAAACAGCAGGTGTATAGAATTTAGGCTGAAATGACAATGGCATTATAACTAATAGACGTTTTACTACACTCCACTCGACGCCGAGAACAAAAGGCATTGAATGGGTTTCTAAACAAGTTACGAACGATTTAGCACTTTTAATATCGGCAATGGTGAACATAGTTATTGTCAACTAAGAGCACATAATGTATCTGTAGCGATCTCTTTTTCTTCACAGGCTCGAGCTGATTTTTAAGTTAGATAAACCTCCGAAGAAGCGCCACTGTCCTGAAAATGAATCCAAGGGCCACTCCCCGGCTCCCCCTAGCTACGCCGGTGAGTCTTTGCCAACTCAGCACTAAACAACTTACACGACTGAGGTTGGGACCTATGTGCGCCGGTCGGTAGAGGTAGGAGGACACGAGAACTGGCCGGCCGCAACTCGGTTAAGTTGATGCAGGGCTTGCACGTGTCGCCCCGCCTCTACTCTCGAGACGTAAACTTCTTCCCAGACAGAATTAATGCACTCGCTTTCTTCGAACCTAGGCCCGGCAAGCGAACCGGAAATTTCTCGTGCGTCACGAACAGGTTTCACACAGACGACATCTGGGGTGTAACTCGTCCTACGTCGTCTGTAAGAGATGAACAGATCTACTTTTTTAACATTAATATTTTCAAAAAAATATGCTGAAAATACTTGGCCTAATTAAAAGTTAATGATACACATCTGTATGCACATATAAATATGCCTTCTTTTGAATGTGTGTGGGGTGAGTTCTTCAGAAGTAGCAGAAAGTATTTCCAACCGAACATTGGGATAAAAAGCGTGATAACTTTTAGAAGAGTGATTATTAGTAGATCTAATACTTAAGAATTATATTTTAGGAAAATGATTGTATTGTTGTGAGATTCATAGCTTTATACTTCATCTTCTTACTTTTGTAAATAAGTTTATTTGGAAACAATTCTTCATTTAGGCCTACGAATACAAAAATAAATAAAAATAAAGTAGGCCTATAAAGCTTTAACTTTAGAGTCCGCATTGCGCTGAGTCTGGGACCACGTTGGATACAGTATACTGGGATTGGCTTATCCTACAGACTAGGCTAGGGCCTAGAATCTAGATCTACCTACAATACAAAATGTAGGTAGAATCTAGGCCCTAAAAATGTTTTCATTTTGGCCTAAATGATTATATATTAAATAAAAGCATATGTTTGATATGCACCTAAGCTCACCGCATATATGTATAGATCAAGTTGATTTATATTAATTTTTTATTGTTATCTAGAGAACATAACAAAAGTATTTTAAAACGTCACGTGTTAAATTACGAAAGTAGAATTTATTACATGGATCTTCCCGAAATCCTAAATAGGTCGATTTTTTCCTCGTTCTTGCAGACGGATGTTCGACGCTTCTCTTCGTCATTCAAGACTAATATCATTGCGCGTCATAATTTAAATAGACTGTATAAGTTAATCTGACTTATTAAAATAAACACTTAATGCTGTGCTAAATTATTTTATTTTTAAAATAAAAAAATGTCTATTTTAACTGGAAAAAAATAATTGCCTAGTGGTTTATAGCTTTTCTAACCAATAAGGAACTACTTTCAAACTGCCTTGTTGGAAGGCGCCGCCATAGTTAACTGTGGCTGGTTGTCGAAATGACAGTGAAAATGTGATCTGCGACAATATTCTATAAGAATTTTCTAAGGATAAAAACCAGTTTACATACTTTAATTTGGATTATATTTTTTATTCATAAGGTCGTTTCCTTTAACATCTACTTAAAATGGAGTCGCTAAAGGAAACAAAGCCTGGTGGTCTTATTATTTTTTTAAGTACCGCTAATAAATTCTCAATACTGAGAATACTGAGATTGTACAATCATGGGATTTAGTGCTGTACTGTATTTCTACATCAAGCCTACTATTTATACTTTCAGTGTCAATCGTATTGACTCTTTGTGACTAGCTGTCTGTTTAAAACACTGTAATAATACTTCATGTGGATATTTATAGATCTACGTAATGAATCACTGTTGTGTAAATATAAATAATGGATCAAACTTTATTAAATTACATTTTGAATTTGACGTTTTGCTGCACAGTTTGAGAATTAATAGATTGATTACCATTACGATTTTTCTTAGTTTACAATGAATAAACCGCTTGTCAAAAAGGCTGTGAATGGCGATGTACCAGATGAGCGAAAGAAATCTCCTTCACGTTCAAAACGTCAGCCTCCCAACCACCAAGGCCATCATCTTCAAGATGTGGACCTGGGTGTTAAAGGAAAGAAAGCTGATAAATCCAAGCAATCAGAAGTAATTGGTGATAAAAGTAAAAAGCAGCTTGTTAATGAACAATTAAATGAAGTGAATGAATCCCCTAGTTCTTTATTCCGAATTTCAAGAAATACTGCCTCAAGGAGGTGTATATCAGACAGCATTTCTGTGAGTGCAGATAATTCAGAACTGGAACTTAACTCTAGTAAAAAGCCTGCTGGTAAAGCCTTTAAACTGACCCCTATAGTTAATACTTCTATTCCATCCAAGCCGAGTCTTACTTCCATTACAGCCAGCAGTATTGAAGATATTAGCCAAAATCTTAGTTTAGAAATAAAACTAGGAACTGGAAATAGATCAAGTTCAAATTTGGATAGTAATTCCTCTGGAAAGTCTGGAAAAAAAATTCAAAATTCCAGATCTCCACGAAGAAAAGTTGAATCATCTAAAAGAATTATGCAAGGGATTAAAAACGATATAAAAGCTGAAACTAGTAAAGAAGCATCAAGTACAAATGTTAATAATGAGGCTTTATCCAGAATAGCAATGTCTCAGCCTTTAGATGTTCATTGTGGTGTAGAGAGTGCTACTTCTGATATAAAGTTAGAGTGCAATTCAGTTGTGAATAAGTCTGATCCTACTACTGTGATACAAGAAACTAGTGAAAATTGTAATAAGGGGGAAAATGCAATAGCTGCGAAACCAGAAACAAATGGTGGTCATGAAGTTGAAGAAGATGGATTTGACTCAGTGAAGGAAAGGCCTAAACGAACACCTTCTATAACTTCTGCTTTAGGAAGTAAAGCAGATGCTGAGCTTGATCATGAAACAAAAGCAAAAAAGAAAGATGAAGATGTGAAGCAGCCTAGAATGTCACCTGATCATCGCTTTATGAAGCTTGATGAAGAAGTGGGAAGAGGTTCTTTTAAAACTGTCCATAAAGGTCTAGAAATTGATACTGGTGTTCATGTTGCTTGGTGTGAACTGCAGGTAATTTTAAAAATTTTTAGTAGCCTACTTAATTATTATGAAGAATAACAAAAGTTAGGTCTACTTTATTTTGTCTGTGTACATTTAGACTAGACAAAATAAGGCCTCTAGGCATATTTCAATCTTTAAAAAATTAAGTAGTTAGACTTTAAAAATTTTCTTAATAGGCCTATGGTTGCATTCTTTTTACAACAGCATTAGATTTTTCTAAATACAGTTGATCTGGTGTGTTTATTATAAGTTACTAAAACTCCTTTTTACATGTCAAGACATATTTTTATGTTTATAAAAGTAAAAAAACATCTGAATGGGGTAAGCTTTTTATTAGAAGCATCCCAGAATATCACTCAGATATTTAGTAGCCTTAACTGAGAAATTTGTTACTGCCTAAGCATGTTTAAATTTGTATAGGCCCTATATTCCGTGATTATTTTTGTTTTTAGGATAAACGGTGGAGTAAAAGTGATAGAAAACGATTTAAAGAAGAGGCTGAAATGTTAAAAGAACTACAACATCCTAATATCTTGAGGTTTTTTGATTACTGGGAAGAGGAAGGAACTCACAGACAGAAAATTATTGTTTTAATTACAGAACTGATGACATCAGGAACCCTAAAAACGTAAGTAGCACTTATATTAGCTATTAATGAATGGTATTGAATGAGTTAATGAAATTTTTTATTGAAGTTATATTTTACACCACACTCACTGTAAAATAATTAGGCATATGTTAAAATCTCATCTTTTGAAAATATTTTCCAAGTATACGTTTTTTACAAAATATTTTATTTTATTTTTTCTTATCTAGGTACTTGGGACGGTTTAAAAAGCTTAATTTAAAAGTCTTAAAAAACTGGTGTAGACAGATCCTTAAAGGTTTGCAGTACCTCCACACTAGAACTCCTCCAATTATACACAGAGATTTAAAATGTGACAACATATTCATCACTGGTACAACTGGATCAGTAAAAATTGGTGACATGGGTCTTGCTACACTGAAGAGCAATTCTTTTGCAAAAAGTGTGATAGGTATGTTTTTTTTTTACCTGAATTGTATGCAATATGTCCAGTTTTATTTATGCATCATTTGGTGTCTTAAGTAAGTGCAATTTTTAATTGATATATTTTTTTAAAATTTAAAATTACATTATAATATCTTTGTTTCTTAATTTCAGCTATTATTTGACAGTGGTTGCCTAAGGTTTGATCTTCAGCTGGTCTTGTTAGCATTCTTTTTTTCATTTGCTAATTCATATTTTTTTCTACCCCTATCACCTGTCTGTCTTCAGCATCTTTTTATTAAAGATTAAAAAGCCAGTTTTTGCTCAGACAGAAGGTAGGTTGTACCTTCTTTGATAGGTTTTCCTTGTTTTTTTTTTGTATGACACTAATTGCATTCTTTTTCAGCTGAGGAAGTACTATGTCCAGTTGCAATTAACCTTAGGCATCCACTCTTTCTCTTTCCCCTTCTAAGGCAGCGAGAGAGTACAAGACGTCCTTTGTATACTTTAAGGTACTCCAGAGTTTATGGCTCCTGAAATGTATGAAGAGCATTATGATGAAGCTGTTGATGTTTATGCATTTGGAATGTGTATGCTGGAGATGGCATCATCAGAGTATCCGTATAAAGAATGCCACAACCCTGGTCAGATCTATCGAAAAGTCACTACTGTAAGCAACTAATCATTTGTCATTGTGCATAATATAATTTGCAAATCTTTTTCTTTACTACTTTCCTCCATAGCTGATCAAACTTATCAAGAAATTATAATGAAGCATCAAACAGGTAACAAGATTCATTTTCTTTTTGTGAATTTCAATTCCTCAATATCCATCAATTTTTCTTATTTTATCCTTTGTATTAGGGCGTTCATCCAGAAGCTTTAGATAAAGTAAGCAATACTGAGATTCGTGAAATTATAGAAGGCTGTATTCAAACTAAGAAGGAAGACAGGTATTTATTTTTTTTAAACACTTTTATTGATGAATTTTTTGCATTATGTTAAACTTCATTCAAATTATCTTCTTAATAGCTAAAATTACAATAAATTCATATACATAAGTCTTAATTAGCATTGCACAATTCTTAAGAATGTTACCGATAGATTCAAGTCAAATTAGCACAGGAGTTCTTATCAGGTTGCAAATAGTACAATTTTTAAAAATTGTCGCATGATCTCAAATCTAATATCTTTATTTTTAAATATTTATTTTTAACACTTCATTGAATTTTTGCTCTGCTTTTTAATTTAGCTGAATAGGTTTTTGTTACTCTCATTGTTTCTCAGCAATTTTTGCACTATTATTATTTTTGCATTACTTATTGCAGATTAACTGTTAAGGACCTTCTTGCTCATGATTTCTTCTTGGAAGACACAGGTCTGTTAGTAGAGTTAGTCAGGAATGAAGATGAAGAAGAAGATAATCAGGTTATTTCCTTGCGCCTTAGGGTTGTTGATCCAAAAAAGAGAAGAGACACTCATAAAGAAAATGAAGCAATTCAATTTGATTTTGATCTTGGCCAAGACCAAGCAGAAAACATTGCCTCAGAATTGGTGAGTAAAAAAGCAATTTACTGAAATAGATCAAGGTGTTACTTTTAAGACACCGATTACTTTACAAATATTTACCAGCAGAAATTTTTGTAGCGTTTGTAATTCTTCATAAGCTATTTAGTTTCTAATATAGAGGCTCAGAAAGACAATTTTTTCCATCTTGTTGTCTATGCTTGGTTTTTTTAACTCCTTCTCAAAGCAAATGAATATTTACTAAATTTCTTTTAAAAATCTACACTGACTTTAATAAGAACTATATTAGTTTTATATATTTATTTAGGTTAATTCAGGATTTTTGATAGAGGATGATAAACGGATTGTTGCAAAACAAATCAAAGACAGAATTGCTCAAGTTCGTAAGAATCGTGAAAAGACACTTTCTGACATACAGCAACAAAAAATAACTGAGGTCAGTTGTATTTTAATGGTTTAAAAATTCTTAGGAACTAAAATTTTAAAATTTCAATTTTTATGCTTTATGATGTTATTTACCATTTTCAGACAGCGACAAATTTGCAAACCTCTCACGTTTCTCAAGGAACTGTGCAGCCATCTTCCTTGCAAACAACTGCAAATCTACATCAGCAACAGGTACTATCCAATCTGCAACCAATATCCACTGAAGTTACTGGTCAAGTTTTTGTGCCGCAAACTCCTCAGTCTGGTCTTCTCATACCACATTCACAAAATTTGTTACCAAATCCTCAAGGACAAATAGTTACTGCTCAGAGTATAGTATCCCCTATGTTACCTTCTCAGCCCATTGTGGCACCTGTTCAGAATCAAAATTTAGGCCATACTCACCAGGTTCAAATGTTGCCATCACAAGATACCCAAGGATTAGCTTTAAATGTGGGTAATATTGTCAGTCAGCAAGTTGGTAACCAGAGGCCTGGATTAGTTCCCCCTCAGAAACCGGCTGGACAGCTTGTCAGTGTAAATAGCATGAATGCACAAGGGGTCATCTCTAATTCAACTCAAAATGTTGTCATGCAAGGCCATACAACAGTCTGTTCTGCTCCATCTTTGGCCCAGCAAATAGCTAATCCATCATTAGCTAAAGATGTAATCATTTCACAAGGTTCTAACATTAATACTGTTATTTCTGCTCCTGTCCAGATTCAGGTATTCTCTTTTATTCTGCTTGATGTGTAAGCTTTGGCATTGTTATAGTTTATAAGTGTCATGATTTTATACTACATTCTTAAAATACTTTAAATATGCCTAATATTTACATTTCAAAAGTTTTTATAACTAAGCATTCTAAAACTCTTACTTAGGCTCAAGGATTAATATCTCAGCCTGTAGCCAGTACTCAAGTCCCTATTCAGGTCAATGGTAATACATCAGTCACTGGCCATGCAGTTCCACAAGGGACATCATCATGTAATACACATCAGCAAGTAGGAGGCGGTGAGGAGCATGGTAAATGAGACTTTTTAAATATTACATGTAAACATGAGATGCTACGATGGTTTATACATTTAATTTAAAAACTGTATAACTGCAGGGTAAAAAAATAACAAAACATTCTCTGCTTAACAAAACATTCTTAGCTTAGTAAAAGCTTTGGGCTACACATAACGCTTTAACTAAAATGACAGCTTTGGGGGGGGGGGGGGGCTAGAGCACTCAAAAGGAAATACATTTTTCTCCAACTTAAAATTGACCTGAGTTCAAAGAAATATGAAATTGGGTATTCTAGCATTGTTACCAGAAAAAACTTTACCTGGGAATTTGGAGGTGGGTCAAAGTGGTTAGTTGGAAGATACGTTTACAAACTCACAGTAAAAGCTTTAAAAAATTATCTTGCATTTTAGAAATGTAATCTGTAAATTTTTTCTTAATTTCTCCTGTTTAAAATTTTGTATTAAAAATTGTGCAGTTTAAGTACATTTGTTTTCAGTTACCTTATTTTTGCATTTTTAATTTTAAGAATTTATTTGATAATTTCACCTTAGTTTTGAGTGATAAGACAGCAGATACTGGCTCTTGTTTGAGTGATATCAACATAACTCACAGTGGATCTCAGGTGATGGTTTATATTTTATCTTAAAATATTTCAGTTTTATATAGGACTACGTATTTATAAACATTTTAGTTTTAAGACTAGTTTTTTTTTATTAACAATTTTCTTAGATAAACACACAGACTAAGCAACTAGATGTCCATTTACTGTAATTCTTTGTACAAAATCTGATAGAAAATGCCCTGGTTTCTTATATATTATGATTATATGATTTTAAAAATTAGTAATATTGTAATCTTTTAGTAGGTCTACACAAAAGCGTGGTTCTCAAATAAGAAAGTGAATTTGTTTTCAAAATATTAAATTTGTTAATTTTCTTTCATCTATAATAAACTACTAAAATTACATTGAATAGACAGTTAACCTGTAATTAATTTATTATGTTTACAGTTGTCAACAACATCATCAACCAGCAATGCTGCACAAGCTGGTGAACCTCAATCGTCCAATCAGGTAAGTTTTGGTGGCCTTTTTAAAAACTAGTTTGCATTATTCATTAAAATTTGTATTCTAACAGCATTTATTTATTTTTATTTTACTTAAATATTGTAAAGGATTTATATAATCACAAATTTTAGGGTCAATAATAATTTTAGTGTGCTTTCAGAAGTATCTAAAAAAAACTGCATCATATATACTTCTGAATTTTAAGACTTATGTACTGATCTGTTAAGTGCCTTGCTTAAACATCAACATTGTTTAAATTTTGAGGATTGTTGTTATTACATTGCACTAAATATAACTGCTTTGTTAAAAAATAGATAAGTTGGCCCATCAGCTTTTGTCAAAAGCTTATTGTTTTTGCTATTTCATAACTTTCTTATTTGTAGATCACAGTAACATGAGGTAGAAAAATATCCATTAATTATTATAATTTTTTGAATTGTATTTATTTTATAATTACTGATATTAAGATAAAAATTCAGGGTTTTGATGTTAATTCTTTTTTAAAGAAATAATCTTGAACACTTGACAGATTAGTACAAAAGATGACTTTAGCGTGATCTATAGATATGAAGATAACATTTATTTAATTTTTTCATTTAGTAACTTGTGTTGTTAGTCATAACCAGTTGTTTGTAATTTAAAACCTGCCATTTCTATGCTGTCCCCTTTGTTAGAATTCTAGTTTTTTTTTTGGTTTATCAGATGTTTCAACCCTTCTCACATTAAACAAGTAACTCTTTCTGTGGATAAATTCTGATGTTAGAATATTTGGTCTAAAAATAGGTTGTCTGTTTATGGCCAACTGCAGCTTAGCTGAGCTAAATGGTATCCACTGAGTTTGATGAAAAGTGGTCATAAAAAATTCTTAGGATCAGAATTTTATTTTAAGTGTTTAAAAATTTGCAAATGCAGAGAACTTGAAATTTTTGTTGAACCCAACGTTTTAACTTCAGGTTTTAGTTTTATTGGCGATAGGTAAACCGTGTGATCATATATCTGTAAACCCCAGTTTGCATAATTACTTCTGTTAATTGAGCCTGCTGTTTGTAATGCAATATTAAAAAAACAATCAATATTTGTTGAAATTTTCTTTGTGACAACAAAAAAACTAAATTGTTTTTTATGTTGTTCAAATTTTATATTGTTATAATAAAAACATAAAATATGTCCAATCAAGTTTTCATAAACTTAAACATAACTGTTTTGACAACAGAACACGATTTTAAAAATAAATAAAACTGCTTCTCGAGTTTTCCGGTGGATGCCATTATGTTAAATATTGGGTTTAATTGAAAAATTTAGGTCAGAGACATTAAAAAAAAAATGAATACAGTTCGGGTTGAATTAAAAATTGTCTTTCCTAACATTTGCAATCCACAGCCAAGAGTTAAATACAGGTTACGTGAAAAGGTGTGTTTGGTTTTTTTTTCTTATGTGGCATGCCTTTTGAAAAGTGAACATTTTATTTTGTAGTGTGCACAAATTGTTAGTAGATAGCTTTTACAAAAATGTTGAATGCTTTTTTTATGTGTATGTTTATTTAATGAGCCTAAAGTTTGGTTTGATTTCTAACATATCCATATTTTTCCATATTGTCCAAAATATTTTTTGTTTTAAACTGTGCCTGAAAATTTATAGATTGAAATATGTTAAAACACTTTCAAAATAAAATATTTTTTTTTAACTAAATTAAAAATTACGCTATACAATCTGTGTATAATAGTGCGGAATATTATTAGTTCTTTATAAATTCACATGCGTTGTTTTTTTTTTTGTTGAGAAATTTGATATAGCGTAAATTACTACTTCCGTTCAGCTGGAAACAGTACTTAAGATATAGGCTTTTGAAAAATTAAAGTAGAATAAGTTCCACTTCCGGTTCCCAGAAATCGCTGAAAAGTTGATACAGAACTACAAATTTGATTAATATTTGTATATGAAATTTCATCAATCGCTAAAAAGTTGATACAGAACTACAAATTTGATATAATACTTGTGTATGAAATTTCATCAGCTTGGCTGTAATGGTACTCAAGTTATCGTGTTTACAGACACACATACACACACACACACACACAGATATGTAAACAAAATTGCAAAGCTATGTTTTTCCGACTCGGGGAGGTTTAAAATGTCGAGATGTTTACATCGAGTTTTTTTTCTTTTTATATATACTTCATATACGAGAAAGTAAAAAAGAGTTAGCTAAAATTATTAGCTGTTTTAGATGAATATGAAGGTTCATATGGTCTTAAACAAATCCAAAAGTTTAAGTACTGAATGTTTGTTCCATATTTGGGCAGAAATCAACAGCAAGATGCATCACCATTTTTGGTGAAGTATGCCGAAACAATTGTTGTATCTAGTTATAAATGTATATTTTTACTCTTAAGTGTTATCTTAATATCTAGCATCTTAAAATTCAAACTCCAATTTTGAAAACCACTGTTAATAATCATAATTTTAGAAAAATATTTTGATATATTTCAAAGCAGTTTTGGATGGATTATAGGTTATTTATTGTTTATGGTGAGCTGGAACTGTGTTCTACAAATAGTTCTAGACAACTGCAGTTGTAGGAGGTCTTAAATTATTGTTGTTTTCTAATCATAATCTTTACAAGATAATTTTTGATAATTTTCCTTGCATTAATAACTAACCATAAATGTAGCAACTAAATTGCAGTTGACATCTTTCTTAATAACTATTACTAATAAATATTTCCTTACGTTTATGCCGCTTCTTTTATTCAAATTAGCTAAATCCAAAATTAGTTGCTTATTTATTTTTAAACTGATTGTTGAGGGGGATGTAATTAAAGTGATGAGATTCAGTTTCTTATTGTATCATTTATATGGGATTTTAATACAATTTCTACAGTTTTATAGATTTTCAAATAACTATGCATAAGGTAATTTTTTTTCCAAACATTTTTTTAAACAAAATATAATTTTCTTAAGATCGTGAATATCAATCTAGATGCCCAGGAAAGACATAAACAAGCGACTGCTACAAGTCTAGCTTTGGTCATGCTTTTATGTCACCCCAATAAACTAGTTGTAATTTATATAGAATAGTTATAAAATGCTAGATAAACTAATAGAACTGATTGAAATTCAATATAGGTAGGCCTTTTCAATTACATTTATTTCAATACTAAGTTAAATGTAAAGAATATGGTTAATCATTTTATGTTTAAGTGTACTGTTGATATACTTGGTTAAATCAAAGTGAATATGAATGTATTGTCTTACAGTTGATTGGCCTGACATGATTTATTTCGCAGCATTTTTGTTTGTGCTCACTAATATGTTGCTCTTAAACTAAATAACCACACATGCATTAAAAGTCATCATTTAGGTTTAGTTAGCTATTCCTGCTTTTAATTAGTTTGAACAGTAGCAGCTTTTTTTTTCTGGTTCTCTGCTCGTTCAGAGACAGTTACATTTAATTTTGTTTTTTTATCTGATTTTGATTCAAATTCTGGACAGCAGTACTTCTTCTTTGAACCTCCAATATTTTTTCCTGTTTTAAAATTTATGTTTAACAATAATGCAGTGAATAATGATAATTCTCTTTAATCTCACTGAAACAATCAAACACCTATACAGCTACAAATATTACTAATCAGCTACTTTAAAAGTATTTTAACTTAAATTACTGTTTTTTTTTTATTACTGTTCTGAACATTTTTAACAAAACCAGGCAAAAATTAACATTTACTTCAACAAGAAAGTATCTATTTATATCAGCATTATAGTAGACTAACCATATCCTACCATATATTTTTTTCAGGCTGCTAACCTAAGTCATCTGGATTTGAATGCTGCACAACAGTACCAACAACAAACTTCTCATCAGCAGGGAAACCTGATTTCAAGCACATCCAGTATTCAGCCAACTGCAACTCAGAGTGCCAGTGGTTTAACAACAAGCTTGTCAGCATGCTACCTAAATGATGAATCTTCACATTCAAATAGAGATAGGTAGGTTTTATAAAGCTGAATGTTGTATGCATTGTCACCGTATCCATTTGGGATTTCCATCAGTCACTTACATTTGTAATTACCAGTGTTTTATTCAAATTTCTTCAAAATGACTTGTTTATGAGAAGTAATCAATTTGACAAATTGTTTAAAGTTTATACAGCCTGTTTAAAACACTGGTGATTACAACGTCATGCGGGCTTTTTATTTAAAAAGCAGCAGTGTTTAGGTGCATCACACACTTTTTCCTTGCACAGTGAAACAGAACTGGGTCAAGAAAAGACTAAGAAGAAGACTCGACGCCGTAAAAAGACCTTGGACAAACATCCGCCTAAAGTCACTATCATCTCATTTGACGAAGTTTCAGACGAGGTGGAAGTTCTGCTGGAGGTGGCAAACAACAATCTGACGTGCAAGTTTCCTCGCAGTTCTATTCCCCGTCCCGAGGAAGTTGAGGAAGACTTGGTATGAAAGAGCTGCTTTTTTTGGCAGCTTTCTTTCATTGATAGTGGGCAACACATCCAATTTTTAATTGCTTGTTTGTTTTGTTTCTCTAAAATTGGTAAAAATTTTGCCAATAGTTTTTGACTTTCAGCTGTTTTCCTGAAATACATGAATTGAAATCTGAAAAGGTTTGTAAGTGGTTATACATTCATGTTTGGTATATGCTGGATAATCCTGAATCATTGTATTGATGTCTTGAAGTGTACTCAGTTACATTGTTTTCCCTATTATGTAGCAACATGGCATAATGAAATTTACTCTATACATTTTTTATAATTGTACATATAGCATAAAGTGTTCTTTTAATTTTCAGTTACCTGATGTCAGTAAAGCACAAATAGATGGGGTTACTGATTTACTGCACCAAGTCATTCAGATTGTCACTCAAGAGGGAACAAAATCAGTTGGTCAAGTGCTCACACTTTCTCCTTCTTCAAGTCCTACTGCAGTTCGTAAATACAAAATCAATATTGAAAGCAAAAAGGTATAGTTAATTAATTTATATAGTTATTGTCTTTTATTTTAAAACATTGACATAAATATATATGTGTGTTGTAATGACTGATAATTGATTTTAAAAAAATCCTTTCTCTACAAAAAAATTACTTTTAATAGTCTTAATCAAAATTATCACAAATTGATTGCCCTGAGTTAAATAGTTGAAACTGATTTTTCAAATGGTTTTGATTATTAAGTACTAATGATTTTAAGAATTAAAAAAAAATGAAAGAAAAGCTATGCACTTGATGAGTTTTATTTTTACCTTTTGCAATTCCAAAGACCCAACTTTTTTATGATTGAAAAAACTATAAATCTGTACTCATTCTTTAACTTAATTCCAATAGGTGGGTAGATAGATTGAAGACCCAATTTTTTTTCAAACAGGTTTCAGATAAAAAAAAAATTAAATCTGTTACATGTTTTTTTTTCTTAAAAGTCGTTGTGCACCATTTTGACCACAAATTTGAAAGGCGGGGAAAACACAAAAATCACCAACATCACAAATCACTTAAATTCTTCTATTGCACATGCAATATTCAGCTTTAAATCAAAGTGTATTCATAAGAGTGTTATAAATCATGCAGTTAAATGTCTAGGATTAAGACAATTAACGAAAAAATTAGTAAAACAATACTTGTATGTAAAAACTTTAGTTAACCTAAAAAAAAACATACATGTTTGGTAAAATATTTTAAAGTTAGATCGACCACAAATGTTAATAAAAATGTATCAATTAGGAATAAAAATTGGACAATGTATAGTTTAATAACAAGGACTTAATTTTAACTGTTATAGTGACAAATTATGCCTTTAAATGAATAAAAAATAAGTATAGAGTAATAAGTATACTTGTATATAGATCTGTTTAGACTACTCTAAGTTATTGTAGAGTTTAAATTGTTTTCAAATGATACAATGTTAATAAATATAAAAAAAATACATGCATAATTTTTACTTGAATTAAGTAGTAGAAACAAATGAAAATGATCAGAAAATATTTTTGGCAGTTTGGAGTACTGTCTAATTAAAGCATATTTGTCGTTAAGTTCATTGGTGTTTCTTTGGCTTATTTATTAGAATTACTAAGTAGTCTTTTCTCAAACTTTTATTGGATATGTAACTTATAAATAATATTTTTATAAATTGCAGTCAATTACTGATGGTTCCCAGGATGTTCGAGCAGTTACTACTAAAGGTTTAATAATTACTCATCATTTACCTACAAAAGTGGCTGAGGATGAACAAGATGAACCAACTACATCGCCTGAAAATAATCCTGATTATCAAAATACTCAAATGGGAAGTATTGCTCAAGATTTGGAACAAAAATCTTGGAAGTCAACTACTACTAAAGAAAGTATTCCAATAAATATTGATGAACTTTCAGAGAAGTTAAAATGTATTTATCCACAAAAGTCTGCTCCAGGTGCCACAACTTCAGTAAGTGGTGCCCCTGCAGATGCGCAGGTACCCCAGACTGCCGTACAAGCATCTCAACATCCTCAGAGCCTTGTCCAGTCGTATCAGATGAATAATACTGTTCCTTCGTCTCAAACAAATGTACAGTTGGGTACTCCTCAAGTGCAACAGTTGGCACAAGATGCTTCTAAACCTCCTGTACAAAGTGAGCTTCAAGTCTCACCGCGCTCTGCTGTGCTAGGCCAGTCAGCAGTACCTCTCGTCACATCTCAGAATATTCCCTCTCAGCAACTACAACAGTCCTCAGTGCCCCAAGTACAGCAGTCCACAGCCATCCAACAGGCTCAACAGCATGTACCAGCTCAGCAGGCACAGCAACCAAGTTGTGTGCAAACTATCCCAACCCAGTCGTTGCAGCAGCCTGCTCCCATTCAGCAAGTACCGCAGCCTATTCAGCAGCCCATTATGAATCAAGGACAACCAACTATTCCTGCTCAGCAAGCACAACCAACTATTCCTACTCAACAATTACAACAAACTATTCCTTCTCAACAAATACAGCAACTTATCTCAACTCAACAAGGTCAGCCTATCCCTGTTCAGCAAGCACAACAAACCATTGGCACCCAACAACCTAACAACACCCAGCAGTTGCAACAGTCTATTCCTACCCAGCAGACCATCACACCACAAGTGCATACAGCCAATTCAAGCCAACAAGTACCACAGCCCATTCCATCTCAGCAGATGTCATTTCCTACACCTTCACATCAGCCTGTCATAGGAATACCACAAGAAATTCACAAGGACAATATGGGACAGCACTTGCCAACCAACATAGTGCAAAATTCTACAGTTCAGGACACACAAAAGATAGGAGCTTTGCCACCAACTTACAATGCCCCTAGTGGACATATGGGCTACAATATGCATCCTCACCATCCAGGAGCACCACAGATGCAGCAGATGCAACAGTTATTTGGCATTATGCAGCATATGATGCATATGACACCATACAGTTTTCATCAACCTAGCTACTATGCACATATGACCCCATACATGCAAGCAATGATGCAGATGTCACATATGATGCACCAAATGCAACAACAGCATGGTCAACACTCCCTTCCCGTCCACATGCCTTTCCCTTACTCCCATTATTCAGGGTGGGGTTATCCTCCATCATACTCTCTCCCACCCCAGTCTTCCTCTCATCCACAAGAAAATGCTTCAACCTCAGTTTCTCCTCCAAGATCCCCAACATCTTCAAGAAGAAATATTGTTCAAGATATTGCAAGTCAATCTCCATATGCCTCCATCGAAAATCTTAACTTAATTGGTAGAAATAAATCTGACATCAACAGCCTTGAACAGGCTTTAGCAAAAACGATGAGTAGACAAACTGCTGGGCATTCTGTTCAGCATACTCTTTCTACAGTTAATAGTGGAACAAATATTCATGAGAATTCTGTTGAGACAAAAGTTGCTGATTCTTATACTGAACCTGCAGATAGTAAAATGAAAGAAGAAAAAAGCTTTGCTGAAAAAGCTGTTGTTTCTGAAACTCCACCTGTTCAACCCACTGAAACAAGGTCAGAACCAGATTTATCAGCCCCCAAAACAAAGGCCATTTCTCGTTTCAAAGTAGAAGTTGTTAAAGAAGATCCTTTACTGACAGAAAAAGATGACGGCCAACCAGACAATTTTCAAGATGACATAAAAAGTGAAAGTGAAGAAAAGAAAGTTGAAAAAAGAGGAAGGTTTCAGGTCACAAAAATTATGCCTCAGCCAGCTGCATCTGCTTCTTCAGAAGGAACTTCCAATGATGCCACTCCCTCTGCATCTATTAATACTAACCCACTTTCCACTGAACAAACTAGTAACAAGCATGAGTCCACAATTAATTCTCATTTTGCTACTAATTCACGTACTGATGGTGAAGGTGCTACTGATGATGCTAGACAAAATAGTGTAAGTAATTTTGTTTTCCAGATTAATGGTAATGATATGGAATTAAATATTAGTAAATCAAGTAATCCTTGTAATTATCTAAGTACTGCTAAATCTGTATGTACCTCACCCACTCCACATTATTTTGAGAAAAGAAATAGGTCAGTTTCATTTGACCACATGTACAGTGACAAACGAAAAATTAGCCATGAAGAATTTCTTCAACCTTCATTTCATAAGCTAACCAAGAATGGTGAAGGGTTTCAAAGCTTTATACATAAACCAAAGCCTAATTATATAGTCCCACTGTGGAATGCAAATAAATGCATGCTTGGTGAGTGTCACTGTTATACAGATGACAATTTCCAGCAGATTGCTCCTGTTTCTTGTTATGGGACTACAACCTCATTTTTGGAACATAAAATTAGTCAGGTAAGGTTAAGGGTGTCAGTATTCATTTATTTTTAATCTACTTTCAATTTTCAAGAATGATTCTTGTAATTACTTCTCTATAGAGAAGAAATCAGTAATTTAACCCTTTGAACCCTTAGCTTCTGAACCTAAAATCCCCATGCCCCTGAGCTAAATGTACACAAGAGACTCTCAAAAAAAATAAAGACAACGAATATAACTAACAGTCAGTTTTATTATTTCAATAAACATTTGTACATAAATAATCCCCAATACTTCAACTTAAACTTACTATGCTGGTCTTCTGTAGATAGAACCTTCTTTCTGGCATAGGTAGTATAGGTGTAGGTAGAATGCTGATTGTTGGAATTATAAAAAAACATCTTTCCATCATAAATTGTAAATGATAAATGCAAAAACAATTTAGTTCATGGGTGCAATCATGACAGGCACTTACCAAGAGTCCAACAGTACTAGATCTAGTTATGAACTTTTTAAATTTTGCATTTTATGTATATACTGTTGACCTGGAGTAAGGTGTTAAATACCAATTTATCTGTCTGTCCACTTGGATTGATAAAGCAGTACACTGGGTTCAAAGGGTTAAAAAGTTAAGTTCTACACTGGATCATTATTTTTATTGATTGTAATTGTTGTATTTATAAACATTAAAATGGTAATGTGTGTTAGGTACAAGAGAAGTATCTTTCTACACTAGGCTGATAGTTCAGCACTAGAAATAGAGAAATAATTTGTAATGTAAAATATTAGCTTAGTCTAGTTCTTCTGGTATTATTGATCATCATGACACAAGCTTAAAATATTTTTTAACAACCACCTAATGCTCCCTTTAAATTTAGAAAAAAAAAATTTTTGTATTAAAATTCTTTGAGGCACAAGCTCCAGTTAAATTTGATACTTGTTAACATCTTGCAAATTATTATAAAAGAGGTACTTAATATGTACATAGATACTTTTGCTTTTATTTCTAAAATCATAATTATGTAGGAATATAGCTAAACAGATATTGGTTAGAAAAACTTTAAGCATGTTACATTATTTACAAGATTACACAGCTGGTTAAAAAATTGTGTACTTTATCAGTTGTAAAAACCATTATTGAAATTAAAAACATCTACATTATATTACAGATGTTTGACAGGAGATCAACAATTGCTGAACCAAAACCTAATCCTGAAAAAATTAAGAATGAATTTGCAAATTTAGATTTAGATGCTGATTATCAAGCCCTCCTGAACAAGTAAGCATTTGATGGCATATATATATATATATATATATATATATATATATATATATATATATATATATATATATATATATATATATATATATATCTTATTGTGGGTTGAAAGTTTTGTTATTTAAAATTCAAATATAACCTTCTTTATCTATTGCCATCTGAAGTCTCAATGTTTCATTTTGCTTGTATAAATTACTTATTGTGAACTTACTTTTATGTTTATAAACTCAAGTGCAGCTTCACCTGTATGTCCTTAAATTACTATTTGTAAAGCAATAATTCTGTTACTTGCAACTGAACTAAAACAAGGCTTACTTTTAAATTTCGTTTTAATCTACAGACACATAGAAGAAAAAAGACAGTACCTTCAAACTAAAGGTTATGACCAAGAAGTTATTGATTTTGAAGTTCTTAAAATCCGCCAGCCTCATCCATTATTAACCAATGCTGTTGGCTCACCAGCATTCCTAGGTGTATCTCCTCCATTTACCAATCAAGCATCAACATCGCCTGTTGCGTTATTCCATTTGGGGGATCAAAACTTTGATGGATGTTCTGAAAATGATTCATCTTCCAGTAAGCCTCTTCAAATTGATGGCAATATTGAAGCCATGCGAGCAAAAACAAACCGTTTTGAAGATGTTATGAAGACATACTTAGACTTTACCATGCAGTCTACTTCTACACAGCCCAAAGCAGATTTTAAAAAATCTATGAATGAAAATAGGCAGGATATGGAAGCAAAATGGGAAAATCAGTATGATAGTGTTGATTCAAGCTGTATGACAAACACAGATTATTCAGACACAACACAAGATTTGTCTGGACCAAATAGCAGAAAGTCTAGCTTTGATATGTCAGGGTCAAACATGATACCAGAAATGATGAGAAACTACTCACAATTTCAAGGGGGCTTGGGTCAGTCATTACAACAAAGTCATCAGATCCAGCATCAACAAACTACTCAACCCTCTCAAGAGCAAGCATTTCATACATTCTATCCTAGTCAATATCCTGGCTTTAATCCCTTTAGCTTCCAAACATTCCCTATGTCTGCTGCACAGCAGCATGTTGCACAACAAACTGCATATCAAGCAAATTCAGCTTTTAGTCATTATATTGGTAATAGTGGTACTTACAGTGCACCACAAGGATTTCAGCCTCAACCCTCCATGACAGATTCGCGCCAAGCTGCTAATTCATTGTGGACAACTGCTCCAAGTGCTACTTCCATACCAAGTTCTGTAAATCCATTAGTTGGTAATCAGAATGTATCTAATACTAATGGTCAGTCTAGTGGCATCCCTGGATCTGCTAATGCTAATGGTGTAGCTCCTACACAGCATTCTGGCCCTATGGGCTAGAAATGGTGAATTTCACCACTGGTCTTTCATTATTAGAACATTCATCTTGCCTTTGGCTTCAGTTTTTCTCTTTATGTTGATATATTTATTTTCAAGAAGTAAACTTCTTTCAGTGTTTTTTGGGTTATAACTGAAATGTCTTTCGAGATTGCAATGCTTGGGAAAATGGATTGAATGAATGACTGTACATTTTATGAATCTATCGGAGTCAAGCTGATACATCGAAATCGGCTGTGAAGGATGGTGTTCTAACCATTAATAGCTGCTTTCCGCATGTTCAAACAGTATTAAGGCAGTTATTAACCAATCAGCCTTTCATAAAATATTTATATATTACACAGAGGTCTTGAGATTTATATAACAAATTTGGAACAATCACCTAGCATTTGTACATGATCAAACATAATTTATTAGCATCTATTGATCAGTGCACTGTAAGGAATAGTGCAGAAGTGTACAATATAGTTATAAATATTTGTTTTTAATCAGTTTTTCTTTTTATATTTAAACAAACCATTTGTAAAGTTTTTCCAAAATAATTCTGTGTACCTTGTATTTTTAAAGTGTTCTTAAGCAGTAATGGAATAGGGCTGAAATATTTAATTGAATTACATTAGAAATTACTGATTAATACCCATTCATTCATGAAAGCAGGTTTGAAATATCAAAACTCTATCAAATCCAGACATTTTTTTTAAAATATGAGAAATTCTGTGTGCTTAAGTTTAGTCAGTTACATTAAAAAAGGAAAAATAAGTATAGAACATAGAAAATCTTTTGGTTATATATATTTTATTGTCAGGTCACTACATTAAATTTTTATATAGTAAAACAAGCATATTTCTTTCAGTTTAAATTGTAAGTATGATTTGTTGAAGCATTATGGCAATATCCTAATCAATTAAGTATTTTTTTTTCAAATCCACCGCTGACCATAGATGACCAAATGTACTTACTGAGAAGTAATTGTATGTTCATGTTAAGTTTTCCCATAATCTTACTGTCATAACCATTAAATTACTACCAAAGAACATAATGTAGGACTGTTTTCTCCCCCAAATTTATGTGTTTAATCATTAGAAACTATTTTGTCCTAACTGAACAGATGAAACAATTTTCCCAATCATTCCAGACAAGTTACATTTATTGTAAGTGTTCACACAGCAATTTTCTTAAGCATTTTAACACCAAAAATAGTTTGAATACTGAATGTGCAAAGATTTTATGGGGGTGGGAGAGTAAGAAATGTGATAATGCAAACAAATTCACTTGCTTAGATTTATTTTCAATACTCAACTCATGGTAATGTGTTCATTGAATGTGTGTAATTTGTTATATTATGGCATAATTTATAATGGATTTATTTTATTGAGAGATTTTTTTGTTTAGTTTGACAGTCATGAAAAATTTTACTAACAGGACGAACATTAAAACTTGTTTGGGAGACTATTTAAGTGAGTTACCTATTTTTTTTTTATGTATTGTTTAATTTAGTGTTGTTTATTTTATACAGAAATATTTCATAATCAGTGTAGATTTTTTTTAACAGCAGCGCTAGCTGTTAATCATAATCATACGTAGATAATGACATCTCTTCAGTCACTTAGTTTTGTAAATGTGTCATATTTGCTTACAGAGAAAGAGGACCAATTTAAAAAGTGTACAATATTGTATGAAATTGAATATTTACTTACTGTTCATTTTCCAACCAGCTTTTATCCACTTCCTGTTCAGTATAGCTTTGTTCTTGTATTGGACATTGATGCTCACAATTATGAATTAATTTTCAAATAGTATTGTGTAACATGGCATGGGTGGATTAAATTAAGTATTAAAAAGTTATCTTACTTTCAGTTACTTTGTAAAGGGGATGCCTAGTACTTTATCAATACGTGGAGTATAAAATATGTTTATTTAAATTAATTAGACCTTTTCAAAGATATTTAGACCAAAAAACCTATCTGCTTTTTCCTGATAATAGCAACATCTAATTATGGCCATGCAAAAGTATCAGCTACTTGTCTTAAAAGTTAGCTTAGGTTGAAATGTCAATGACATTTATGCATATCTTGTCATAAATGTGCCTTCACCTACTTATTTCACTGTTGATTGAATTTTAAATACTTTCAAACATTAAAAGTACAATCATGGTATGACTAGGTAAATAAACGGACCTTAAATTTCTTGGTTCAGAGTTCCTTCTGCAAGAATATGAAATATAGTTTGACAATAATAAACACCCTCCCTTCCCCCCTCCCATTTACTGCATTTAATCATTATATTCATCATTAGTTTAGTGCTGAGCTAAATTTTTATCACGAGAAAAAACACTGAATGTGTGTGTGAAGTAAGTTGTACATATAACTAAATAGTTACTTCAGTACCCAAAAAAATGTAATTTTGCCTATCATGACAGTAACAAAACCCATTTCACACATCAGCCCTCTTTGTTTTGTCTAGAACTAAAATTCTTTTTAATTACGAGAAAATATTATAGTTTTGTGGCAAGTGATGTCTTACGATGAACAAAGTGTATGTTTACAATTTGAAGATGAGCAGAGGGTTCATAGTTATTTTATGATGTGAGTAAATATCAATTAACTAAAAATGTTTGAATTCATAAAGTAAATAAAAGAAAATGTTCTCAATAGATTAAGCTTTGCTCAACTGATTCAATGTATTTTGATTTAACCATGATGTTGGGAATTCAATGCAATGCACAATAAAGTATGCTATTAAAATTTTGTAATGTGTCAACATTTTAGTGTATTAACTATTTGAAGATGTAAAAAGTTGGAATTGAAAATATTTTTAGCAAGATAACTGCTTGTTTGCTTTTTTTTTTATTTTAAAATAAAATTATTAAATGCATTGACAGATGAATATTAATTTTCCATATCTTGATACAAAATTATTCTAATATAATTGCAAGTATTCATTGTTTATGTATTGATGTAGGCCTAAGCTGCATCCCAAGTAATTTAAGAAGGGAGGGAAAAATTAGCAATTCCTCCATTATGTGCTGAGTGAACATGTTTTGAAGATTACCAAAGGTAGTTATAAAACCTTGAGTCCTCCTATTTCAGTGTTTTGGTAAACAGGCAGTGTTTCTTCCAGACTTTTTTCTCCGGGGGGGGGGGGGGGGGGGGGGACACTGTTAAATGTATATATTTTCTATATAAATTATATAAATTTCATTTAGTTCGAAGAGATGCCTGGAAGAAACTCTGTAAACAGGATATCATAATATGAGAAAAATCTAATACAAAATTAAAAGAACAAAAACTTCCAAATAAAACATCAATACAAAAATACAATGAGCCTTGATTTAATCATTAAAATTAATGTTTAATATAAATCAATTTTGGTGAAAGAAAACATTTAAAAAAAAAAAATTCTCTGTTAGATGTGATAGATGTTTTATTTCAAGTAAAGATGGTAAACCACACGAGTCAATGAAATGTCACAAAACAAGAAATCATGTTTTAAAATACTAGGGTAATTCTGGTTACATGTGTGGATTATTTCCTGCACTAAAATATACAACAAAAGCAAAATGACAGAAAATAGTAATTTTTAAATAATAGTATTGTACTTTATGCAACACCTAAGGAACAAATAACTAATAAGTGGTTAGCAAAAGTACAGTGACATGATTCCCTTGAATCAGCTGTTAGGTGCTAATGCTAGGGTTGCTCAGATTTAGTTTCTGTTCACTATATTTAAAAATGACTTATTGTTAATCTATTTAAGTATCTTGGCTCAGTCACAGATTCAAATTTTAACAACAGAGATTATAAATGTATGCGTGTTACGACCACAATATTCATTGGCCAGCCACTTTACCAACTGGCTGGGATGCCCAGGCTTATGTAGGTTACGATGTGCATTCTTTTTTGTAGCTGTAGTTTCACTATGAGTAATGTATTTATCAGCCCATTTTAAAATGTATGATGGAAATCGTCTTTGACATTATCCCTCTGTTAGTTATCCATTGAAATACTTATGCATCTGGTGCTGAAGAGAGGTGTTTATAAAGAGCTGACTGAACAAGAGGCAGACAAACAATAAGGCTGCCTAAGAAAAATTCCACACCCTTCTTACTTTCCTTATTTCACAAAAAATGGTTACTACTAGATCAATGAGATAGCCCCCTCTTTGACAAGGTGAGACAATCATCAAAGAACAAAATCACTGTCCACCTGGAACAAGACTGAACATGCAAAAGACACTGCTGCTATGGGTGCTGCCCTTTAAAGGTGGACAATATGGTCTCCTCTGTCCGGAGATGACGCAAACCTCGAAAACCAAATTTTGTCAACCAAAGCGGCACACCATATGAAGTTCTGTAGATTACAGTTTTATTTAAATTTTACACTACATTTGCTTGATTGTGAAATGAAGTCTGCCAAAACTTAACTTTAAATCTTGATTACTATTATTAGTATTATACAAACAGTATTGTTTTGTTTTACATTAGTACTAAAGCCTACTGTTTTAAATAAGTTTTAACATTTAATTCTCATGCTAGGCTTTAGTGATACAAGTTTTTAGCAAAATTAAAATAGAGACAGAAAACGATAGTACTAATAGTACACAACAATATTAATTGAAAAATGTAGCACAATAAAATAATTTGACTTTTTTCCCCTGCCATTTCATTACATTAATAATCTAGATCTAATTTCCTGATTGTAATGGTATACAAACACCCAAAAGCTGCTAAGGATCTTATTCAGACATTGGTCGGTCAATTCTAGCCATTTTGCAAAATCAAGAATAGTTTTAAACATAGGACGGTCAATGGGAGATGATATTGGCCGTAGTGTGAGCTGACATACTTTGGCCCCAACAAATGTATGTATATATTAAATATATACATGTGTCTGTATCAGTGGCGTAGCGAGGTCGGGTATCACCCGGTGCAGCACTTAATGGTGTCACCCCCCCAGAGGCATAGCGACCCTTCCTGGCGCCCGGGGACAAACTTTCAATTTGGACCCCCCCTCCATCCTTGTCGGGATTTGTCAAATTTGCTCTTAAAAGACTTTTTAACACTTGAATTAATCACTTAAGTGGAATTATCATTTTTCTCTATATATTTTGTTATTTTTTGCCTTGGTGTCACCCCCCTAAATGGTGTCACCTGGTGCGGTCTGCAACCCCCCCCCTCGCTACGTCACTGGTCTGTATTAATAATCATGCCTATGTATAAAAAAAAAATTAAATACACTTAAAACTGGTACATATTTTCTGTATACATTACAACACACAATTTCATACACTGACAAGCCTTTATAAGACATTCATTTAAAAAAATGGATTATTGGGTAATAAATCTAAACAAAAGAAATCATCACACTAAATTTGTAAATTGCCTTATTGTTACTACTCAAAATAAACAATATTGAGCATACATGTTTAGTCATTTATTTCTACAGTAAAATATTTCATCTAAGAATCAGGATCATCGAGGAGGGGGGGGGGGGGTGTATATACTCCAAAATAATGATTCTTATAGTAAGAATATTGTTATTCAAACATTGTTGATAATTTACATCACAGATGGTTAAGAATTATTAATTAAATTGAAATTATGTTTAATAAAAATGTGATAGAGTACATTCAGTTCAGATATAAAATAATATTTATTGCACATGGTATTAAAATAATTTTATAAAAATATACTACTATCACAATACAGATCACAATGTTGGACAATTACTATCACTTAAAATTACTAAAGAGCTATTAAATATATAAAAATATATTTCATGTTTAACAGATGGCTTCAAGTTATGATCCATAAAATGTTTTATTATTTACTTTGATTTAAAATTTTAAAAATGTGTTAAGAAGAGCTTGGTGTTTCTCTGACTGACAATATAGCAGTGGAAGAATGGAAGCAAGTGTATGTTTTAACTAGCTCACTAGTAGAGTCAAGGCTATCCTAAAACAAAAATAAACGAGGAAGCTTACATTGTGTTCAAACTGAATCTGGAACTGATTGAGGCTAGGAAATTGAAATTACTTTTCATAATTGACAAAAATTATCTGTTTTTAGTTTAAAGAAATAATTTAGCCACTTTTGAGAAGCTGAACAAAAGTATAGTTTTAAATATGTTGCTGACCAAGGCTAAGCAACGTACAATTACTTATTAAGTTATTGAATGTTAGTTAGTCTTTTTATTTAGAAAAAAAATTAATTTTTTTTTTCACCGACAAGTAACCTGTAGATAATAAATTATTTATATCACATCCATATCCAATGTAAAACATAATATGGCTTGTTTATAATAAATACTGAGTGAAAGTAGCATGTTGTTTTCATGTCGCTGTATAATGTACAGCACTCCCCTGTACCCTAAATCACAGTTTGTTAGTTTTCAAATTTCCTGCAACATTGAGGGATCTAAAGGTTTTTTAAAATGTTAAGTGTTAATGTTGTAGCAGCATTCATGGATGTCATAGCCTTAATTGGCTATTGGCTATGTTCATCCAATCTTATTTCATACAGGTTTTTACAAATGAGCTGACAACACCAAACATAAATCCAACAATACAATATAACATCAAGAAATGTACAGGGTTTATGGCCAATGACACTTGTTCACTGGACCTTATATGTTTAGTCTGAGACCAGATGGAGAAAGGTAAAACCAGTTGTAACCACACATTTTAAATGTTATCTTTCCAATAAATATATTTAAATGTCAGACTGTCTAGTCAATAGCAGCCTGCTAAATATAGTTGATTAGCAGCCAGATCTTAGAGATCAAATTCTGGAAGTTTTGCCACATGATGAACTTTGTCTTTGAGCAATTTTTCTTGTCAGCAAAAGCCATTATTGTGCACAAGAATTTTTTGGTAAAAGTAGGTCATCAGTACAGCAGTACCTGGCTCTAGTCCAGTCCATGGACAGAACTCTTTTGGTACACATGAGCTTATACAGTTGAATTCAGGCGTCAATGCTGCTGTCTTGTTTCTGTTGATTGATCAATGGATGTGTATGGTGGGGGAGGAGCATCAGGTACAGCATACGGCGGTGGGAAATCTTGAGATGGATAATTCTGGTACTGCAGTAATTTGGGGTAGAGATGATTTGAGGGTCCTGACTGTTCAGCTGGTGGAGCTGTTAAATAGAAAAAAAAATTTGCTATTTCAGTTTTTTTATTGGCTAAATCAAACTATATACAGTCTTTAAAACCAGATATGAACTATTTAGTTTTTAGTTAAAGAATTTGTACTAGATTAAATGTTTCCACTCAACTTAGAGTATAATGGAAAGTTTTGGTTTAAAAAAAAAAAAAAACTTAAGTTAAATGGTCAAAACTTCAATTGTGTGTGTTGATCATTATTAGAAATAATTTAAAAGCTTAGACATCAAGCTCTATTTTTTTGTAACACAAAAAACACTTCATTCTTCATGTATATGTATAAACATATGGTGCATGTAAAAAAAAAGTCATTTAATTTATGCAGTTTATTTTTTATCCTAGTATAGTTTGGTGAACTAATGCAATGATAACTGATGCTATTCACTGCTATAGTTTTTATCCTAGTATAGTTTGGTGAATTAGTGCAATGATAACTGATGCTATTCACGGCTATAGTTTTTATCCTAGTATAGTTTGGTGAATTAGTGCAATGATAACTGATGCTATTTACTGCTATAGTTTTTATCCTAGTATAGTTTGGTGAATTAGTGCAATGATAACTGATGCTATTTACTGCTATAGTTTTTATCCTAGTATAGTTTGGTGAATTAGTGCAATGATAACTGATGCTATTCACTGCTATAGTTTTTATCCCAGTATAGTTTGGTGAATTAGTGCAATGATAACTGATGCTATTCACTGCTATAGTTTTTATCCCAGTATAGTTTGGTGGATTAGTGCAATGATAACTGATGCTATTCACTGCTATAGTTTTTATCCTAGTATAGTTTGGTGAATTAGTGCAATGATAACTGATGCTATTCACTGCTATAGTTTTTATCCTAGTATAGTTTGGTGAATTAGTGCAATGATAACTGAGGCTATTCACGGCTCAGTTGATTGTGGAGGTGATTAAGCTAACCTGAAGGTTCAACCAGAGGTCCAGATTCTAGTGTCTGAGGCTGGCTGGATTGGCCTTTCTTCTTCTTGGACTTTGTCCATTTACAGCAACAGTACAGAATGGAGAAGCCGATGATAGCAATAAAGGCTACAACTCCTAAAATAACGCCTACAAAAACTCCTATTGAGGCGATTAAAACACCTTCTTCAGAAATACTGCTACCTGTGAAAAAAAAACAACCATGTATATTTTTTTATTTATTGATTACTTAAATGTGATGAGCCACACTGACTGTATCAATGGTCTTTACTCTTTACTATTCGATCATAAGACCTGGTCTCTGTAGTAATGACTTTCTGAATGCACTAAAACTAACAGCCTTTAAATAGCTGTGATAAAACTATAAAATAATTGTCTGCACGCGTTGTTACTCTGGAGTCTAATAAAATAATAATAACAATGAACATAAAAATAAAATATGTAGTTTCACTTACTTTTCTCCACCTCGATTTTAAAAGTATAACCTTCGTTTTTATTTAATTTAGTTTTGTGCACCTGTACTGTTATAAATCTCTCAGGTGTGCACAAATGATTGGGCTTGGTGTCATGGCACTTTAATACGTACTGAAAAAGTACAAGTTATGTTAGGCAGAGATCGAAATTCAAGTGTAGGTTACGTTAGACACAGATCTAAATATAAGTGTATATTAGTATTATTAGAATATAGATGGAGGAGAAAAGAACTGATCTAAAATGGTGTTCATCCATCATCTATTTTTCAAATCAGCTTTAGAAGAACCTAGCTGTTTTGTGGATTGCGAAGGGGTGGGGGTGAGGGTTCTGATACATTGACATGTGGAGGGTTTTGTAGTATAGCATTGTGGCTTTATGACATGCACAGCTGTGAAACCAAAAGCATTATAATAATTGTAATAGGCAACAAGCTGTGTGTTGCTGCAAATAGGAAAATAGAATAGCTGTAACAGACTGTTACTAGTTCTAGATCTAACGGTTGTAAACCCCATCATGATACTACTATTACTACGTAACATGTCATTATATATTATATAATATATATTAATATATTTATTACATAGATCTAGGTCTAGTAATCTATACTATATTGAATTTTTCTTATTGACGTCATCGACTAAGAGTAAGACTAAGTGAGACTCAGCTAATGTGACTTACCCAGGGTGCCCCCGATGTGTGCGGAGAAGTGAAAATTTTTATTTTAACGTCACAGGTTGAAATTTGTAGTTCCTGAAACTTGAGACAAATTCCATATTTGCTGGGCGCCTTGAACGTCATCTCACAGTTGGAGTTCTCGTAAATGAACTCTCCACCTTTCGGAAGTAGAAGGTAGTCTTCGTCGTTCAGGTCATAGGGCGTAGGCCTTGAACAGTGGCCGAAATGGTTGAAGTAAACCTCTTCTGCGTGCAGACAAAAGAAGGGCGTGTTAGTGCTAGGGCGCGAGTTTGATTCAGTTTTACACAGGTCAATAGGAACAGTGTTTCTTTCAGACTTTTTTCCGGGGGTGAACTTGATATTTTCTGAGGGGGGGGGGGGGGGGGGGGGGACACTGATAAAAGTATATTTTTGCTATAAATATTCCATTTTGTTCGGGGTGGAGGGGGGGGGGGCTGTAGGTAAGAGATGCCTGGAAGAAACTTTGAGATCACACAAGATCGAGAAAGGTCAATCGTACATAGAGGGCTAATGTGGACAAGGTTTTCACCTGCTGAATGTGACTTTTCGGTGATGTTTCGACTGGGGAGGGGTGGACAGGATGGACGGGTTCCGGAGGCAGTGCACCCCTCCCCCGGAGAGATGCAAGAAAGAAACACTGCAGGCCAAGTCAGTCATCCCACAGGCCGTGCCCATCTCTGTTATGACCCCCCCCCCCCCGCCCCCAACATACTACTCTACCCGGGGCGAGTTTTTCCTACTGCAAAAATTTTTATTTGCTACCCCCTTTCCTTTTGGAAGATTTACTCTGCAACATATGAGCAATATCCCAGTTTGATAATCTTAAAGGGCAAGCGAAAAGTTTCTTCCAGGCATCTCTTCGGCCCCCCCCCCCAAAATTTTTTAACCGCCCCCCCCCCCCCCGAACGAAATGAAATTTATAAAATTTATATAGAAAATATATACTTTTAACAGTGTCCGCCCCTCCCCCCCCCCCCCCCGAAGAAAGTTTACCGCCGCCCCCCCCCCCCCCCGAAAATTTCAAGTGCCCCCCCCCCCCCCCGAGAAAAAAGTCTAGAAGAAACACTGGAAATACTGGCTGTAACTCCACCAACAGCAGGTTACATTAAAACTGGCTGTAACTCCACCAACAACAGGTTACATTAAAACTGGCTGTAACTCCACCAACAGCAGGTTACATTAAAACTGGCTGTAACTCCACCAACAACAGGTTACATTAAAACTGGCTGTAACTCCACCAACAGCAGGTTACATTAAAACTGGCTGTAACTCCACCAACAGCAGGTTACATTAAAACTGGCTGTAACTCCACTAACATCAAGTTACATTAAAACTGGCTGTAACTCCACCAACAGCAGGTTACATTAAAACTGGCTGTAACTCCACCAACAGCAGGTTACATTAAAACTGGCTGTAACTCCACCAACAGCAGGTTACATTAAAACTGGCTGTAACTCCACCAACAGCAGGTTACATTAAAACTGGCTGTAACTCCACCAACAGCAGGTTACATTAAAACTGGCTGTAACTCCACCAACAGCAGGTTACATTTGTAACTCCACCAACAGCAGGTTACATTAAAACTGGCTGTAACTCCACCAACAGCAGGTTACATTTGTAACTCCACCAACAGCAGGTTACATTTGTAACTCCACCAACAGCAGGTTACATTAGTTACATTAAAACTGGCTGTAACAATGGGTTAGACGACATGTTTTTATTCTCCCAAACAGTTTACAGTGCCCAAAAAGTTAATAGCTTCTATTCTAATTGCTATTTCAGCTAATGATGCGCTCGCTTACAGACAGTCACGTGACTCAAATGACTCACCTTTGTCAGAGGTGGCTTGATGGATGAAACATGAGTGTAGGCCGAGGAGGAGGACGAGGGCCGGCTTGTCCAACATGATTAGCTACCTTCTCCTTACGCCCTCGTGGCTAACTTGCGTCTTCGCAGCTACCTTTAATCCTTGTGGCTACCTTGTGACTACCTTCAGTCTTTGTAGCTATGGTTACTGTGTGGTACCCTCAGTTCTTAGTTCTTGTTGCTACCGCCAAGGAGCGTGGCTTCTCTCAGTCACCAGGTTTTACACATCACCGGCTAATAAATCTGGCAACTTTCATGTCGACACAGTGGACTAGAGCGAGCAGGTCGGAGATTTGTGTTCTTGACTACATGACAACCTAGAGAAGAGAGAAAACAGCTGTAGCCAACTGTGACATTAACATCCCTAATGCATCTGATGGCATCTGCTGGCATCTGTTGTTGGGAACACGCAAGCTAGTTTGGGTATTTGGTGATCTGTCGGTAAATATAACACGATATATTTTCTGTGGGAGGCAATCACAAACATTGCATCTATCTGCGATGTCAACATTCTGAGTTAGATACAAAAATCAATGTCAAACATTTTTAAATTGGCTATAAATCAATGCAAAACTCGGAACAAAAGCTTTATATTTATTATGTACTGTGACGTCGCTAGATCAGGGTGTGCAAGCAGAGAGCCAGACCATGGTGAGTGACTGTGTGTGTGGAGGGGGGGTCAGTGCCAGGCGACACACTGGCCGGCGACGCCATTTAAATAGGACTTACTATTTATAAGTTATTTCTTTTAATATTATTATTTATTTAAATATTAGAACAGCAATTTGTTGCAATGATTATATCGTAGGCCCCAAGCCCCTTAGTGGGGGTCTACAAGTTAACCTCTTCACATCGTGGGTCTACAAGTTAACCTCTTCACATCGTGGGTCTACTAGTTAACCTCTTCACATCGTGGGTCTACTAGTTAACCTCTTCATACAGTGGGTCTACAAGTTAACCTCTTCACATCCTGGGTCTACAAGTTAACCTCTTCACATCGTGGGTCTACAAGTTAACCTTTTCATACAGTGGGTCTACAAGTTAACCTCTTCATATCGTGGGTCTACAAGTTAACCTCTTCATATCGTGTGTCTACAAGTTAACCTCTTCATACAGTGGGTCTACAAGTTAACCTCTACACATCGTGGGTCTACAAGTTAACCTCTTCACATCGTGGGTCTACTAGTTAACCTCTTCACATCGTGGGTCTACTAGTTAACCTCTTCATACAGTGGGTCTACAAGTTAACCTCTTCATATCGTGGGTCTACAAGTTAACCTCTTCATACAGTGGGTCTACAAGTTAACCTCTTCATATCGTGGGTCTACAAGTTAACCTCTTCATATCGTGTGTCTACAAGTTAACCTCTTCATACAGTGGGTCTACAAGTTAACCTCTACACATCGTGGGTCTACTAGTTAACCTCTTCACATCGTGGGTCTACAAGTTAACCTCTTCATACAGTGGGTCTACAAGTTAACCTCTACACATCGTGGGTCTACAAGTTAACCTCTTCACATCGTGGGTCTACAAGTTAACCTCTTCATACATTATAAGTCAAGTGCATTTCCAGATGTGGTCGTGTGCTTTATATTGATGACGCCGTTATTACGTCAATAAATATTTGTTTCCATGGAAACGGATATATTTTTATCTTGAGTTCGTCTGATTGTGTATCAATGCTCTTCACTGTTTGTCAATTCTTACATCTATGTGTGTTTGACATTCTGTGTTTGACTTATTCATACATTTTTCTAAGACGTCATACATTTTTTTATGACAGTCATACATTTTTTCTATGACGTCATAATTTTTTTCTATAACGTCATACATTTTATATGATGTCATACATTTTTCTATGGCGGTCATGTTTTCTAAGTCACGTGTATCTTACAGTCACCAGGCAACTAGAACAAATTTTTCTGTATAAAAATCTGGCTGGTGCATGAAATAATTAGGTTAATGAGGCGCCATTGTCTAAACATTACTGCTAAATGTCCGAGGTATATTAGGTATATTAATTGGGATCTGTTATCTAAAACCTAAAACACATATACTAGAGATAATTAGATTAATTATGAGGTATTGCCTATAAAGCTACTGGTAAATGTACATAAGATAATTAGAGCAATTGTTTAAAAACTTTACTGGTAAATTCCTAGAGATTATGTACTTTGTTAGCGGCAATTGTATTAAAAGACTAGCTACTTACAAACAGAAAAATCACATGTAGATGTACATTTTATAAAACCTCCGCAACACACTTGTCACAACACATCCGTCACACATTCATCACACATGTTGTAACGGCAATATCACTCGTGTGCCACACACTATTTATACCCTCCCTTAACGGCTTGATTTGTTCTAAATAATAATAGCTCTTCGTTTCACGGTCCGCTGGTTTCACAATCAATCGGGTGGCCAATCAAGGAGTTCAAATCTATGAACAAACGCGATCGATGGTTGTATCGAAGTCTTGTAGACAAAATTGTGTGAAGGTCTCAGCCATTAAGTGACGGAGAAGACTTATAGACAACATTGTGTAGGGTTGCTAGACATTAGGATGTAAAACTAGCAGTATAAAATCTCGACTAGCTTAGAATACACACGTTCAATATAGAAAAAACAATTGACACAATCAATTGAATTAGACACAAACCCACAACAAAAGAAAAGTATTTGAATAACAAACTAATAAATAAAACCACTAGGAAATTCAATGAACAGCTTACTAATTGGACAGCAAATAATACACACCATTCTACGTTTTTCTGAAGAGGAAAAGTTTTTACTGAAAGTCTTGTGTGACCAACATAATCCCGTATTTGGACTTCCAGAACTATTTTGTTTCTGACTCCATGTGAATTCCCGAATGGCGCAGAAGTTAGAATCACAGGGATATTTATAAAGGTGACTTTGTTTTGCTGGTACCTTCACACAATCGTTCAATAATTTTCCAAGAAAACCATACGGGACTGTCTTGATAAATAAGACAAAATTACAGCGGAAAGTTTTTCTGTGACTGTCTTAAAGATAGATTGGAATATTCTTTTTTTTTGTTTGAGTTTGCAACATGTCACAGTCAACAAGTTCTTGTAGTCAGCAGTTGAGCATATTTTCGTGTTAGTTTATAAAATATTTTGTTGGATTTCAGTTTCTGTGACTGCTAATGCTAATGCTAAAGTTAGACTTAGAGTTAGGCTTTGTAATTTTGTTAGTTAACGTTATCAACGATAGCAGCAATGCGATGACTACAGAATGGCTAGAACACAAAGGAAAACAAAAACTATTTAGGGCTACAACACTAAAGTAAACAAAAAGACTGTCAAAATTTAGTTCCTGAGAAAGGTGTCATCCATAAATGACATAAGCTTTTTTTTTGACGATTTTTACACCTCCCCTCCGTCATACGTCGTCACAAAAAGCCAGACCCCCCCCCCCTAAAATGACGTCACACCTCAGGCTACACCCCCCCCCTCAAAATTGCTATTAAATTTTTCTTAAAACATCGATATTTTTCCAAAATCTTGTCAGAACTATGTCAGCATAGAGTATTTTGATCAATTCCTATTACAATTTATTAAAACAGTTTTCTAAAACGCGAAATAACCACTAAAACTCATTTTCTAACATTGCTTTTTTTATAATGCAAAAAAGTGACGTCACACCATCTGAACCCCCCCCCCCCCCTTATCACACACCGTCATAAAATTACGGACCCCCCTCCCCCTACGAGTGTGACGTCATTTATGGACGACCCCCAAAGCTGAAGCTGAGAAAACTCACAACTTATTCCAAAGAATGACGAATTTAACTGTTATCCCCCGACGAAATAACATTCCAAATTTAAACATGGTCAACACGGCAGAGGAGGTAACTCTACACAAGCTAAAAACTAAATATCGACTGATGATTTTTCTTTACAAACCTTAAGGTCCTCTGCCAGCAGGATTTTTCCAGGGTTGAGGTAATGCCAGCCTCAGTTCTTAAAGACACCAAGCTTGAAACTGGAGGACGAATAACTTTTTTTTTCATAATCCAAGTTTCTTAGCAGCAGACGACTGAGTAGCGCGTGCAGCAGTGTAAACAAGCAAGCAATAACCCGGATGTTCCTTAACATTAATTAACACTCACTTAAAATTGTCTTGTTCTTTTTTTAATTTTTTTATTGCTATTTCAAGGACGACCTAATTTTTGTACTTTAAAATTTGTGTCTGATTTAAGATGAGGGACGCTCAAAATGTGCTTTAAAGTTGGTCTGATTCAATATATATATATATATATATATATATATATATATATATATATATATATATATATATATATATATATATATATATATATATATATATAATATACATATTTTTTATAATATATATAATATATATTTATATTAGGCCTATAGGCCTATGTATATATATATATATATATATATATATATATATATATATATATATATATATATATATAAAATTTATTTATATTATATAGCCCTTACATTGCAACTAGCATTCCCACACGCCAGAGGAAAATCTTTACTTCTCTGCAGCAGTATCGAGTAAATAATGCGGCAGCCATGGAAATAGACACTCATCTTTAGATTTTTGAGTGGACTACGTACACAATAAAGCGGGAGTGATCTCCCTTAAACTTTCTCGACTATTCTTATATAACCCTACAGGGGATGGCAATTGGGGATATAGACATGATTTTTAATCAATTTATAAATACTTAAACTTTTAAAAATAGAATAGAATCTCGTAGAAAAAGAATGTCGCACAGAGTGAACAGCAAACAATGTATGTATAATAGTGCGGAATATTAGATCTAGTACTTTATAAATTCGTATTCGTTTTTCGAGAAATCGGAAATAGCGTAAAGTAGTACTCCCGCTCACTAGAAATTACTCAAAATTTGACAGAACACAGAGAATTAGATCTTTTTCTAAGTGAAATTTCCTCTCTCTATCTGGAACAGTACTCAAATATAGGCCTTTTAAAATTCCACTTCCGGTTACCGGAAATCGCTGAAAAGTTGATACAGAACTACAAACTTGATTTAATACTTATATATGCAATTTCTTCCACCTAGCTGTAACGGTGCTCGAGTTATCATGTTTACAGACAGACACATAGACACACACAAACACACAGACATACAGACAAGACTGCGAAATTAATTTTTTTCCGACCCAAAGAGATTTCTGAAAATCTCGAATTCGATTTTTGCAAGATAACAATACTTCCTCTATACTCCGTGTACGAGAAAGTAAAAAATTCCTATTTTTTAAAGGCCATTTGTATCCACATGTCAT